CAGAAAACACCTGTCACTGTGGAATAGGCAACTCTCTTCGCAAGCACAGTGTGTTTAAGCGAGTGTGAGTGTGTTTGTGTTTGTGTGTATTTTGGACAAAAGTGTAAATTGATACTTGATTTCTGATGTCATTTTCATAGTTTACATTCTTAGTTTATCTTGTCTTGATGAAGGATATAAATCAAATGTGCCATGCACTCTTTTCAACGCACCTGTACAAGACTAGTATGGATCTTCAATGACTGGTCCCTCAGAAACTAGTGCTGACCCAGTCACAGAGAATTTATGATTTCAACTGAAGCCTCTTAGTGCATCGTACATTTGATTTTTTTTAGAATTTCATTTGGAAACCTTCTATATTATTTTGATCATCATGGTGTATTGGCATACGGGCTATGGTTGGAGCGATAGATGCGGTTAAAAGCGTTGGTGTAATATCTGGATTTAACATATTCAGATTCTGAATATTTTCACCGAATTGAATCATATTGAAAAGGATGCAATTCATAGTCTTAACGATAAATCTTAGTTGACATATTCTCTCTTGCTCTTGCATAAAGAAAATACAAATATTAATCTTTGGCCTTGATTGAGACAATTTCTTGTATTTGTATTGAACAGGGAGAAATCAATAGGGAGGAAAGCAAACAAAATGAACATTAAAGATATCTACTACATGTTCGTTCGTGATATGGGTACAAATGCAGGGTATATTAAAATGTGAAATAATTAATTTTAGAGCGATGATTTATCAATTCTTTGACAGTGATTGATTCGTTTAAATCTACCGGTACATGAATGTGGTGACTTTTTGGTTACGAACGGCAGGCTTCGTTATTTACTCAATCTAGCAAACAATACGAAATCTAGCTGTATGAATACACAGACAAGAAGTAATAAAAGGGAGATGCCAGAATGATGACATTGACGATGATTACAAGTTTGGATAACAAATATTCATACAATATGTTCTGAGGGCATATTTATTACAATGTTGAAAGTTTATCCACCAGAATGTGGTTGATTACTATATTTTCAATTATGCGGTGACTTGTTGGTTATGAGCAGATGATCATGGCAGGCTGTGATATTCTATAAAACTAGAAGCTATCTAAACAGTACTTCAACAGAAAGCTGGATAGAGACACTCCGTCACATCAAGCTACAAGAAAGTATATCATCATCTCACAGACTTCTGCTCGAATACTGCATCTAAATCAGGTAGGCCCTACAGCCAATACGTTATGCCTGTTGCACATGAGACGTCTTTTTGATTGCGTCAGTTTGTAATTGTATTGATAATGACATCGATTATTTAGGAGCGCTCAAACAAAAAGTACCTTTTCGCTTACCAAGTAACAGAATGTGAAGAGAGAAACTTAAAACTCATAAATAGGTAAATCATACTTTATTACTGAGGAAAGAAGTATTTTAAAGGGATCTTTTGAAAGTGGTAAGACAGCTTAATTCTCTGATGGAAAGGGGATGTTTTCAAAGCAGCCATTGTAAAATGTTTTTCGGTATAGCTGAGGGTCTGGATTTGGGAATAATTAATGTAAATTCAGTTGTAGAGCGTAAGTCTGCATTTCTTCAGACATTTCTTCGCCTCTTGTGCAGCAGGCTTTTAGTGCACATTAATCATGGACCTGTTTCACAAAGCCTTTTGTTAATGACAAATGACAAAAATCAGTGACAAATCTTCCTGATAACCAATCAGAAGCAAGGATTTCAGTAGCTTATAACAAAAACTGTCATTTGTCACTGTCACAAATTTTGTGAAACGCCCTCCTGAGGCTTGGCTTTGGCAACTCTGATGGTTGAGATGGCCCAGTGATCTCGTAACCGGGAGGTCCCGGGTTCGTTACACTAAAGGGCGCTAGGTGTCCTTTGGTAAGGCATTAAGCCTCATTACTCATACTGCCTTATTACCCTGACTCATTACTCACACTGACTTACATTTACCTTCCTAAAGTTGTCATCACCGAAACAAAACTTGGCAACACTGTAACGTATCTTGCGACCCCCTCTCCAATTTGGTCTGTACAGAAAATTCATGAACTTTCATTTCTCAGTTATTGATGACAGAATAGATTGGTTCATACATTTCTTGATGTATTAAACATATTTGCAATGATTATATTTAGGGTGAATGTATGATTGCACATTTTTTGATGGAACTTATAAGCTTTTAAAGTCTTTTAGTACGGGGCAAATGGGTGATGACATCACAACATATGTCACAGAGTTGCCAATTTGCACTGTGTTTGATTGATTGCATCTTCAAAAACTAATTACTTATTTTTAATCAGTTTTTGCTCAAACTTTAACTGACCCGTTCCTCTCCTTCTTCTGTTTTCATAAAAACCAACTCAATATCAGGGTGGACTTCCCCTTTCAGCAAATTGGGTAAAATTTTACTAGGAGGTTAAAAAAAATACATGTTTGTTGGGAATACTTTATACCAACACTAGGTAATGTATGTTTACCCAATTTCAGGTACATTTGACCAAACAAACATGCTCAAATTATAATGGCTCATACCCAAGCGGAAGCTTTTACTTTTCATTAAATCATTAAAGAAAGAAGACGATTCGTTGTACCGTTCTCGACTCTTAATCCTTGTCTAAATTCAGTTTTCCCCCCGCTTCGACGTTTCATTAAATTTTTAGAGAATGAAGACGATTCGTTGTCCCGCTCTCGAAAATAATTTAGTTTCCCCCACCCGCGCGAAGCGCGGAAGCTTTTACTTTTCATTAAATCATTAGAGAAAGAGGAAGATTCGTCGTACCGTTCTCGACTCTTAATCCTTGTCTGAATTTCAAATATGTTCTTTGTCTATTCCCTTTTCTTCCTACGTCCTCTTCCTTTACACTCCTCTCTTTTTTGGCCGGCGTTTATTGGGGGACCACCCCACCGCCCCCCTGGCTACGCGCCTGCTGTCAGATGAACATTATGTTGATACCTTGTCCGCCCCGGAAGCTCAGGGGTTTAAGGTTTTAATTTACGGTCAGATTAGCATTCAGGGGTCCGCCTTAGCGCCCTATACGGGGTCCAGGGGCCAGAGCCCCGGAAGTTCAGGAGTTTAGGCATTTAATTACGGTCAGATGAGCATTATTTTGATACCTAATTGTTACAATGGCAGGTCACTTATTGGCTTGGGGTTCAGGGGGCGGAGCCCCGGGATCTCAAGGGTTTTAGGCACTCAATTACGGTCAGATGAGTATCGAGGGGCCCGTCTAAGGGCTCTTGGTTGGGTCCAGGGGGCAGAGCCCCCAGAAGCTCAGGGGTTTTATGCGTTTAATTACGGTCAGATGAGCATTTTTGATACCTTATTATTTGTGACACTAGCAGGACACTATTTGGCGTGGGGTCCAGGGGGCAGAGCCCCCAGAAATCAGGGGTTTTAGGCATTAAATGACCGTCATATGAGCATCTAAGGACCCGCCTTAGGGCCCTAGGTGGAATCCAGGGGGCAGAGCCCTAAGGATTTTAGGCATTAATTTTAATCATGGTCAGATGAGCATATTTTGATACCCCATTATAAAGTGACACTGGCAGTTAACTATTTTTTCTTTCTCGCTCTCTTTCTTTCCATTTCTCTTTAATATACTTTTTCAAAGAAAGTGTGGGGGGAGGGGCTCGAGGATCCCGATCCCACCGTTCTGCGGGCCCTGATATGTAGGCATCTCAAGAAGCATTTTCTTGCCTGGCTGTAAATTTAGGAATATGTCATTTTCCAACAAACGCATGAAGTGAGGAAAATTATCTCATTTCAGCATTATTTGTTAACCACCGTTATGGAATTATAAATAAACCACGTTTGAATTCTATTTCTCCAACCCCCCCCCTCCCCTATCAGTATGCCAGTGCCCCCCCCCCCTCCGATCTACACCTTGTTGGCGGGAAAATTGCAACTGATATCCCTTATCTTTCTTCATTCTCTTTGTTTTCCTTTCTCTTTCTCTCCTCTTTCACTTTCCCTTCCCTTCCTTATCTCTCTTTTAGGTTTGCTGGGGGGGGGGGGGGGGGGAAGGGGCACGGTCATTTTGGTCCCCAACCCGCTCCACACATTGTTGGCGGGATTAACCGCAACTGATCTCCGCTTCTTTTCTCCCTTTTCTTTTTTTCTTCCTCTTTTTGTTCCCTTTTAGCTCTCCTCTTTTCCTTTTCCTTCCTTCTCTCTTTTTTTAGCGGGGACGGGGGGGGGGGAGGCTAGGGTCTTTTGCCCCCCCCCCCTCGATCCACAACTTGTTGGCGGGGAAATTGCAACTGATATCCCCCTTCTTTTCTTTTCTTCTTCCCATTTTGTCCTTCCCTTTATCTCCTCTTTATCTTTCTTCTTTCTCTTTCCTTCCTTCTCTTTTATTTTTTTATGAGGGGGGGGGGGGGAGGGGGGAGGCAAGTCCTCCCCCGCCCCCCCCCGATCTCCTTCTTCCCTCTTTTCTTTTCTTCTTCCTCTTTTTTTCCCCTTTCTCTCCTCTTTCCCTTCTTTTCCTTCTCTCTCTCTCCTTTTTTTTTTTTTTTTTGCGGGGGGGGGGGGGGGCCAAGGCACGCTCGGCCCCCCCCCTGGATCCGCGCCTGGGTAAAGCCGTTAAGTGCATGCACTGACAGCAGTGCAGAAAGGGGCAGGAACATCGTCTTTCAACAGGGCATTCTAAACATTCTCAGTTGTTAGGTTTCAGAAAGCGGAGAATATAATTGAATGTAGACATTCTAAAGCCTTCCGCCTTGCATTCATCACAGCAAACCCAATTCCACTAGTTTCTTGCAGCCTGTCGTCTCGAAGCCCATTATTTTTGGCGCATTTGTTCATTCAGTTTCCGTTATAACTTTATATTGTTCGATTTTGGCTTTCCGTTCATTCTTGATGAGTGGTAAAAGGAAAGTTTCAGTACGTCACTATTCTATGCTGAAATTCTTAATTGTGTTGCAATATCACCGTAGTTATGACCAAATAATCACAATGTATTACATGTTTATTCTATTTTCCTTAGACTTTGGAAATGGCGTCAAAAACCATGATTACACTCTACTTTCTGATTGCCTTGGCCGTGGCAGCAAGTGCTTTAGTCCAGGAAGATGAGATCGACAATTCCAATGCGTTGAGTGACGAGGATAACCGGATCAGCAGTAAGCAATTTATTTATAATGTTGATAACCAACTAAACAAATACGATTACAAAACAAGCAACCTAAAGCAATTCCAATAGTCGTATGCTTGTGCGGTCACCTATTGAAATGTTACTTGTTACTTGTAGATATAATCCTGATGGCAGCTATCATACAGCTAAACTGGGATGTGCCAACATGGCAATGATGTTTCGACATAATCCGATCAGATTTGTAGAAAGTTTACACTTTTAGAAAGATACTTTTTATCACTTCTTATCTTGGCCGGCCGATGATATTTTGTGATAACTTTAGTTACCAACCAAGTTTTGCTGATTTGATTTATTGATTTATCATTGTTTTGATCATTTTTTGTCTTTTATTTTTGTATTGCAGTTGAGGAGGAGGAGGAGTTGACTGAACATCAAAGAATGCTGCTGGAAGGTGGCGGAGGTAGGAACAATATTTCAAAATCTAAAGAAAAATGCATAAGAAATAGAATGCTCCTCCTATCAATGATAATAATCCACCTCTCAATTTTTCAATTCCACACCTCTATCACATAGTCATGAAAATGAGAAAAGTCAAGGAAGACAAACTTGAAAAGTCGGCAAGATAATATTTCTTTCGTTGTAATCTATACCACCCCCGTTACCAACCTCAAAATGATGAATGCCATTTTTAACGTACTGGTAATATAATTAAGTTAATAATAGCAATACTTTTAACGCTGATATATTACTTGTGGACGTGCAGGCATAAACAATTTTATTGGTAATATTGACGATGGTCATGATCACCGGCATTGTAATTATCAATTAGTGTGTTGTTTTAAAGACTACAAATTAAGGAGTACTCGACATATGTATCTTCATAATTGTTAAAGGGTTGGGTAAAATTTTACTCATAAGAGGGGAAAAAAGGAACCATCCATGTTTGTTGGGTAAGAGTTTACCAACACTGGGTAATGTTTAACTAAGGTTGGGTACATTTCATCCAACAAACATGCATCTCCCCATTTTTTACCTCTCTATGTTCAAAATTGTACCCAACTCTACACTGCTTTAAGAGTGCACATACTTTATACATCTCTTCATTATCCCGCTAGCAGAATCACACCATATAATATAACATGACTATTTCTGAAATGCAATCGGTGCAAAAAAATTATATGTTTAACAAATCTTTATATTTCCCCTTTTCTTTATTTCAGCTTATGGGAAGTAAGCGCATCAAAAAGTTCGAGAAGCATACTAACAGGATTTTGTCCACGTGCCTGTGGTCAGACGTCTTCTCTGTTTGTTGAGACTTTTGTCAAATTGATGAGAGAAAAAAAATATCATCTGTCATCAGTCATCACTGACCTTAATCCTAACCCCAACGAAATCATAACCTTGCCTCTAAAATAATTTTAAAAATCAATAAATAAATCCATTTTGAATCTCGTTTCAGAAGTAAAGTATCAATATGCCTACATGTAGCCCAATATAGTTTTGTGTTGACAACAGGTGCGTAAATTCACTGGAAAATGTTATTGTTTAATATAATGAGTTGAAGAGTACAATCTTGAAAATAATTATGTAGAGAAAAACATGCAAAGGAAACCATTGAGGTGTATACATTAATGGAAATCAATGATCTAAACAGTATGTTCCGATTGTAAATTGTCAAATTTTTAATTAGCTGCTTCATTCTCTGAACCATTGTGCACAAAAGGGTCTCATTAAATGGAATGACATAATAATTCCTCCTCGGGTAATTTACTTTTGTTCATGTCGTGAGAGGGGTAACTATGAAAAGTATAAAGGAGAGAGAGAGAGAAAGAGAGAGAGAGAGAGAGAGAGAGAATGAGAGAGATAGGGAAAGATGGACAGGGAGCAGGCATATAAGAGAGGTAGAGAGAGAGAGATTGTGGAAATCTTATATAGAAGAGGATATGAGAGAGAGAGAGAGAGAGAGAGAGGGAGAAAGAGAGAAAGAGGGGGAGAAAAGAAAAGACATGGAGCAGGCATATACATAGAGAGAGATAGAGATTGAAGCTAGCCTGTATAGATGATACGAGAGAGAGAGAGAGAGAGAGAGAGAAACAGATGAGGCAGGGAGATCTATATAACTATGTTCAGTTAAATACAAACATCTTCAGACACTATCTCATTACGTTCTGTTGATGATGATGATAATGGTTTCTTCGATCTGTTAATTAACAGACGGTAATCATCCAAATTAGATATCAAACATGAAACTGGTGATATTGTGAGATAAGCAGACATGATCAAACAAAATTTTTAAAATTGTGAGAGAGAAAGGAAGGTAAAGAGTGAGAGAGACAGACAGAGGGTGGACAGAGAGAGAGAACTACATCATACCTGTACTGTTCTGGGACACCTACCCCCTGGACATCCACCCCCCCCCCGGATAACCACCCCAGTAAACTACCCCCTAGGACAACTACCCCCTAAGACAACTAACCCCTAGGGCAACCACCCTCTAGGATGCCTCCCCCTGGGACAACTACCCCCAGTAATCTACCCCCGCGGACAACTACCCCTTAGGACAACTAACCCCGGAAAACTACCCCCTAGGACAACTACCTCCCCCCCGGACAAGTACCCCCAGTAGACAACCCCCTAGGACAACTATCCCCGGACAAGTTGTCCTAGGGGGTAGTTGTCCTAGGGGGTGGATGTCCAGGAGGTAGGTGTCCGGATACGACCTGTACACGTCAAATGTTAGTTGCGTCTTGCTGATGTTTATCACATCGATTAGAAAAGGAAATAGAGAAAATGAATACAATTTCTTCTTTAAAATTTGAGAAACAACATATAAAATGCATACAATATACAAAATCGCTTCATTATTGATAGAGCCTTTGTTTTAAGTCAATTTAGGCTATTCTTTATTGCATCTACATGGCAGCTTACAAAGGTTGAAATATATTTTTTACATGTACATCACCTTTGAATATTACCATTAAATACTTTCTTATATCTTAACCGAATTTAAACGCATCTATGTATCATTACTACATGTACCATCTTCTTTATACAGTATATTTGGCATTGATTGGCAGATGTTGAACTTGAAAAAAAAAAACAATATAGAAAGAAAGTAAAATAGTTTCATGGTCGAAAGTATATCCTGAAATGCACTGTGCATTTGAAAACAATATGATTTTTGTAATACAATGACATACATTTGTGTGTGCATGCGTGGGTGTGTGTATGCGTGTGTGAGTGTCTGTCTGTGTGTTAGGATGTATGTGTTTGCTACTGGTAATTTTGATATTAAACAAAGGGTAATGCAAGGAGATCCACTCTCGCCCTATTTATTTATTCTCGCTATTGAAATATTGGCAACAATAGTGAGGAATGATGAGGTTATTAAAGGCGTTAATATTGGAAGAATTGAAGTCAAACAAGTTTTATATGCAGATGACATGACAATATTTGTTAGGAATAAAAAATCTGTAGAAAGAGTAAAGGGGATTTATATGTTATTTAAAGGGATCCGGTAACTTTGTCTCAGATTCTGAAACAAAATCCTGGATTTAGCTCATGCTGCAATGATAATAATAAACCTTTTGGTCAGTCAGGAACCCCATGACTTTTACAAGCCGATTGCCTGTTCGATTATCAAGATATTTATGATTGGAATCACACATATTTAAAACCGTTTACCAAACGGTTTTCATAAAACTACAGTCTATTGGGGAAAAACGAGTACTATGGTAAAACCAGTCACTCAAAGATTTTTACTTTTCTGAGGCACTTCTTGATCATTTTGAAGCACAATTTATTTAGGGCTTCAATATTACACCATATCACAGACACTGATTACAAGTCGGGCCGTGCATCTCAGATCTAACATTGTTAAACGATGCCTTTAAGAAAATAAGTGGTTTACGGGTTAATGCGAAAAAAAATTACATTATGAAATTGGGGAAAAACAAAGACATATCAGAAAAACTTAAGGAATGTGGTTAAAGAAATTAAGATTTTGGGAGTGTATTTTTCGTTAGACGTCAGAATAAGAGATGAACTGAATTATAAGGAGATTTTAAGCAAGATTTAAAGACTTCTCGGACGGTGGAAACAGAGGGACCTCACGGTGTTCGGAATAATTCATTTATTAAAAACATATCGGTGCATTATGTAAATTAAATTACGTTTTTGCTTCACTAGTTGTTCAAAGTGGGTCATATCGGAAATACAGAAAATATGTTTTGAATCTATATGGAATGGGAAAGATTGAATTATTAAGAGATTAATATTGTATCAAGGTTATAATGAAGGAGGGTTATGAATGACTAATTTTGACTCGTTTGTAAAAACACAACGTGTAATGAGGGTGAAAAGACTATTGTATGGAGAAAAATCTATCGGATGGAAGCTATACTTTGATTTCGGCTTCAAGATGGTAGGAGGTAGATTTATTTTTTTGTGTAACTATGATTCCAAATTAATAAGTTTAAAAGTTCCTAAGTTCTATTTAAAAATGATCAAAGCGTGGGAAGAGTTAGAAGGTTGTACGAATTTTGAAGAAAAGAATAATCCAATTATTTTGAAGAATACAAATTTCTTATTGAAAAAGAAAATGATTTTTGATGAGGAGTTGTTTACACGCAGTATAATTTCAATTCAAGATATTTTTGCTGAAAATGGCATGCGGGAAATATCTCATTTTCAACATTTGGGGTTAAAAGGAAACAAAATTGTTGATGTATGGAATATTAGGGAAGCTATTTTGAGAAGCGGAAAAAAGGATAACCGGAGTTTAGTGGATGTAAAAGAGTACGGTATGATATTTTAATGCAGTTTAACAGTATTGTGAAGCTCCTCAGAGATGTATTATCGAGGAAGGTTTATGAATATTTTGTAGAGAAGTTACGAAATATATTTGTCTTGAAGATTCATGATGGACAGGAATTTTGAGATATTTCAAATGAGGTATGTAGGGAGATATTTAGTAGGCCTAGGAAAGTTACTCTTGTTTATAACAGAGTAGGAGAAATTCAGTATAAACTATGGTGGCCCTGAAGGGACATCGCGAATAGACTAAATCGTGAAAAATATGCGATAAAATTCACGATATCGTCAATTTTATCGCATATTTTTCACGAAGAAATTCACGAAATTGACGATATCGTGAACTTTATCGTGAACTTTTCACGATGAAATTGACGATATCGTGAATTTTATCGTGAAAAGTTCACGATATCGTCAATTTTATCGTGTACTCTATCGTGTACTCTATCGTGTACTCTCCTGACGGGCGCTTCGTAAACAAAACCAGCCCTAGCTGGGGGAGACAGAGAGAAGGAAAAAAGGGAAAGGGAAAGAGAAGATAAAAGGAAAGAAAGAATAATAAGAAGAAAAGAGGGAAACGGGGAGGGGGGGCGAAGGGCTCTTGCCTCCTCCTCACTCCCCCCCCCCCTCCCCGCCAAAAAAATAAATCAGAGAGAGAGAGAGAAGGGAAAGGGAAAGGGAAAGAGAAGATAAAAGGAAAGAAAGAAGAGGAAGAAGAAGAAAAGAGGAAAACTGGGGAAGGGCGAAGGACTCTTGCCCCCCCCCCCCCCTCCCCCCGCCAAAAAATAAATCAGAGAGAGAGAAGGGAAAGGGAAAGGGAAAGAGAAGATAAAAGGAAAGAAAGAAGAGGAAGAAGAAGAAAAGAGGGAAACGGGGGCAAAGGGCTTTTGCCTCGTCCCCCCGCCCCCCGCCAAAAAATAAATAAGAGAGAGAGAGAGAAGGAAAGGGAAAGAGAAGAAAGAAAGAGAAAAACGAAAAAGAGGGAGAATAGGAAAGAAAAGAAAAGAAAGAAAAGAAAGGAGGCAAGAGCCCTTCGCCCCTGTTTCCCTCTTTTCTTATTCTTTTTCCTCTTCTTTCTTTCCTTTTATATTTTCTTTCCCTCTCCCTTCTCTTTCCCTTTATGGCGGGAGGGTGGAGGGGGAGGTAAGAGCCTTTCGCCCTTCCCCCGTTTCCCTCTTTCCGTCTTCTTCTTCTTTCTTTCCTTTTATATTTTCTTTCCCTTTCCCTTTCCCTTCTCTCTATCTCTCTCTCTCTCTCTCTCCTATTTATTTGTTGGCGCGGGAGGGGGGAGGAGGCAAGAGCCCCTCTTTTCTTCTTATTCTTCTTCCTTTCCTTTTTTATTCTCTTTCCCTTTCCCTTCTCTCTCTCTCTCTCTTATTTATTTTTTGGGCGGGGGGATGCAAGAGCCCTTCGCCCCCGTTTCCCTCTTTTCTTCTTCTTCTTCCTCTTCTTTCTTTCCTTTTATCTTCTCTTTCCCTTTCCCTTTCCCTTCTCTCTCTATCTCTTATTTATTTTTTTGGCGGGGGGTGGGGAGGGAGGAGGCAAGAGCCCTTCGCCCTTCCCCCGTTTCCCTCTTTCCTTCTTATTCCTCTTCTTTCTTTCCTTTTATATTTTCTTTCCCTTTCCCTTCTCTCTCTTATTTATTTTTGGCGGGGGGGGGGAGGAGGCAAGAGCCCTTCGCCCTTCCCCTGTTTCCCTCTTATTCCTCTTCTTTCTTTCCCTTTCCCTTCTCTCTCTCTCTCTCTTATTTATTTTTTTGGCGGGGGGGGGGGGGAGGTAAGAGCCTTTCGCCCTTCCCCCGTTTCCCTCTTTCCTTCTTCCTCTTCTTTCTTTCCTTTTATATTTTCTTTCCCTTTCCCTTTCCCTTCTCTCTCTCCTTATTTA